TACACAATGGTTAGTAAGGTGGATGAGTCTGGCAGCAGCATTCATGATAGACTGAAGAGGGGATAGCATGCGATGAGGTAGGCCAATGAGGAGGGAGTTGCAATAATCAAGGCGAGAGATAACAAGAGAGTGAATAAGTTGCTTAGTAGTTTCCGAGGTTAAGAACAGGCATATCTTGGAGATGTTGCGGAGGTGAAGGCTACATGATTTGGACAGCGATTGGATTTGGGACTGGAAGGACAGATGGGAGTCTAGGATTACACCTAGTACCCTGCCATGAGGGGAGAAACTGATGGTTGTGTTATTGAAAAAATAGAAGCTCATGAAGGAATTCCAAGGAGACAGTATAACCTTACAAGTTATGGTGAGTTGGGTCAAACGGGACCGAAAGTTCTCCACTGAACCAATGCATAGCATAGTAAAGCCTTCTTAGAACAGAAGTTATTTACATGTCTCATTCCACCACTAACCCCAAATTGGGTCAACTGTACAATGAGAACCATTGGAGTATGGCAAAGATACAGCCTAATATTATAGAGACATTTATTCCATGTTGCCTACAGCTGTGTAAGGCTTGTTTGCCATTATGAGTGCATGAAAACGATACTTCTATGGAGTAAGGCTTGGAGTCCTCCAAGAAAGTATAAGCAAACAGGTTATGGTGAGGTGGGTAAAATTAACCAAATGCTCTCCTCTGTTTGCCTTCTTATAACAGAAGGTATTCACATCCCATCACAAGTTCCAAAAATAAAGAGATTTCTTTATCTAATTTCAAGCCAATGCAGGAAGAACAGACTGTATTATCCTAGGTCAGTGATGGCAAATCTTTTAGAACCTGAGTGCCCAAACTGCAACCCAAAACCCACTTATTTATCGCAAAGTGTCAACACTGCAATTAAACCTGATTGCCAAGCTGGACCAATGCTGTCTACACTAACCTGAAAAAACACCATTCAGTATAATTTTTGCACTTTGAAGAAAGCGATTATATTAGGTTATCATAACAGTGACATACATAATGCAAAACAGTCTACTTTTGATGTAGTACATATAGGCAGCATTGTACATAACAATCTGCTGAACTGCTATATGAGTATATGTTCAGCTGTCTATGCAGTCAATAGAAAATCTTGACAACTTGTTTTTTCTGAAGCTGACCTCATGCTTAAAAGGTTAAAGGTATGCTCCATTTACAATATTTTACTTGAAAGGCTCTCAGCAAAGACTGTTGGGCACATAGTATTATATACTAAGGATACCTTAAAGAACAAGTTCAGGCTTGATTCAAAAGCTTCCAACCCTTATTTCCTACCCCCCTAAGCTACCCTAAGCTACATTCCCCTTACTTTGGTGCCTACTTATCTTTCTGTGATCGCAGCTGCCTCCCACAATGTGTACAACTTCCATTTGGAAATCTTCTCAGCTCTGTCTGCCAATGACTTCCCGTAGACCATGGGTGTACTACTCTTGGTACTATTCCCTATCCATGTCTAGGGGAGGTTACTGTGGCACCAAGAAGATTACTAATTATATTGGGCATAAACACCATGGAAGGCTGTGGCTGTAGGAGTCAGGTATTTAGGCACTTGTATGGAGGGGTTTGGCTTAAGTAGGTCAGAGGGATAGTAAGTGAGGACCTTTCATCTGAACCTGTACTGACCCTTTAAACCTTTTATTGTATCATTATTGCATTCTATTGCGAATGTTCTTGAAATACAGTGCATCAAAATGATTTGTATAAGATAAATATAACCCTCAAACATATCTACTTGGCTTATAGTTATTCTAACATGTTTTTCTTTGTAAAGTAGTATACATTACTAACCAAAACATATTTTTAAGAAATGTACTCCAGATAGCAGGTTCACTTAGAATTTTGAGTTAGTTTGAATTAATATAAAAAAAAAAATCTAGTCTAAATGGTATATATATATATATATATATATATATATATATATATATATACATATACATACATACACACACACACACATATATATATATATAATATTGTACCATAAACAGGTGATAAAAGAGAAGATGAAATATATTGGAAGTAAAAGTACAGTAGCAGAATCCTTATTTAACGAATTATAAAGCAGGTAGCAGCTTACCCACAACCAAACTCTGATATCGATATTGACTCTTGTAAGCATTGGCTTTAGAAATCTATACAAATATTTAAGGTATGCAAGCCACAGGAAAGTTTTCCTGGTGACTAGAAAGTTTTTTCCCATTGAACTTATGCCTACGTTTGCCTGCAATATGGTCACTGAGATTTTCCTCACGTTTTTAGCAGAGATTCTGAAAGTCTAACTAATGGAACATTTCATGTCACTAGACTGTTTCTACCACACCCAAAAACCACAAGGAAATTTCTCAGAATGTACCAGTCTATTTCTTAAATGCCAATGGCTTTAGGCATTCTATCACAGTTAGTATCAGGTTGGTACGACCCTTGGCTCCCACCAAGTAACCCAGCTCAGGAATGGTTAGAAGAGACTCTCAACTCCAATCACTGGAGTCAAATGCATGTTTTCCAGGACTTGTAACAGAATTGCTGTTGAAATAATCCATGCTATAGCAATAAATAATAATTATTTTAGGCTGTTGCTGATAAAATAGCTGTATTACCATCTGGAAGACATTCACATTTGGTGGCCTACTGAAATTGAGAACAGTGCTTTAGGGCTTCTTCTTTTACTTCTTAAAAGGGGTTTCTCCTATTGGGATTTCCTCACTGCTGGGTCTGAAGGGTGTACTGACGTAAATGATACAGTATACATGTATGTGTTTGCCATGCTTCATGGTGACACAAATGTATGCAATGTTTAGGTCTTGGTAGACTAAGCCAGCCTATTGACTTTCAATTGCTTTTCCCTACTGCCTACTCACTACATGGTGAGCATTGGAAAGCTAGGGGAAGCACTTTCTGAAGTATCATTGAGTTTGGACTTGCTTCTACATTTAGTGCATAGGTGAGCATTGCCTAGCAGTGTTGTAAGAAACCACACAGAGACCAATCAGTTAACTGAAATTTTAATGGAAAAAAAATAGAAAATATTAATATCCTTTACATTTTAATAGCTGTACATACATGAATTATGATCAAGCAAAACATGCATGTTGATTTTGCAATATTTTGTGACATTCATCATTTATTATAAAACGGTCAAAGTCTCATTGGCTTGCATATAAGTTACTTTTCCCCAGCCCTATACATTAAAACATCTGCAAAACTACCCTTTATAAATATCAATCTCTCTGGGCATTGTAGGTAAGTGAATTTGTAAATCACAGACTTAAAGCACTGTTTTTTTCAGTTAACATGAGGTATGGTTAAAAAAAAGAAAAAAAAATGTCTGTCACCTGTAAAGCCCATATATGATTGTTTTTAGGATTCTTAACCACTAATTATGCGTGTACCATGAGACTACCTGCTAAGATCATAATGCCGCTATCACACAACTACAATACTCTATCATGGTCCATTCATATTTTCTTGTTGCTAGGGTTTAAGCAGACATTATCTGAATATGTCATTATTAAGGAACCAATATCCCCATGAGAATTTTAGAGCAAACATGCAACTGTTATCATAATTCATGGCTATCACATCTCAGTAGACATCAGGTACATTTAAAACACTGTGGACCACCATAAACATCTTACTCAAATGCAATATACCATGAATATTACTGGTTAAGTTGAGGGCTGCATTTTAACAATCCTCTAATTTAGATTTTGAGAATAACATTAGTGTTGCAGGGCACCTACATTGCATGCATCTAGAGAAAGGCAGATTATATAGTTGTGTAAAGCAAAGACATAGAATAAAATACATATATATTTATATACACGCACATGCAGCACATATTTAAAGTTATTGCAGACAGATTAGGAACAGGAAGACACTTAACCCTGCCCTCATTACAATTTAAAGCAAATATATACAAAGCTAAAAACTCAACCTATAAACTTATAAAACAAAGTCAAAAGAGAAAGCCTTTATGAGTAGGAGTACAGTAACTTTAAATCTGAATGGTTTTTTTTTTTTTTTAGTTTTAAGGTCTCCTACAGTGCTCTATAATGGATCCTCTTAAAAGCAGAACTCTTCCAGATTTTATTAGCCATTTTTCAAGTAAACATTTAAAATGTCCAAAAAATGAAACATCTGCTTGATTTATCTAGTGTCCGGTTTATTGAGCAATAAAGCCAGTAATGGAAGCTTTAATATATCATTTAGAATGCTAAGGCCTAACATAGGGCCTTCAGAGTAATCAAGAACAGGAACTACTAGAGAAAGCCCCTGCCCTCCCACCTCCTCTTTCATTTTAAGACCATAATTTGTAATAAGAATCTTACAATTAAAATCCAGTTTAAAAAACATTGGCTAGATCACAGGAAAGTTCAGGGTTCTTATAAATAGGGTAAGTTATCTGGCTTTGAATCTCGACGTTATTATTTTTGTATACACATAAGTGTAAACTTGGCCAAAAGTGGCAAAATCTGGAAGACTGCAAAATGTCCAATGACCAACATGCTAGCAGAAAAAATATCAAATATATTAGACACGTCAAAGAGCTAGAAGACCTATCTACAAGCTTTTACGCAAAAAAAAGTATTTTTTCTTTGCATTACCTATCTAACAACCTCAATACAAAGTTCATCTATTGTAGATGGCAGTAATTTGGCTCCCTTATGTATTAGATTGAGTATATCAAAGACCTAAGGCTGGCTAATACATATTGTCCAGGTTTTACCTGGTAGATACAGAAACAGCATAAAGAGGTCATTGTATAATACATTCTGCTTCTGAGTAGTGGTCTAAATAAACTTGACAGAAGGTGTCAGATATTCTACAAAAAGAGCTTATCCCTAGATATATCTTAACCTTCATCCAGTCAGCATCAGTAAAGTTGTCTAGAATACCAACATCTTAGTTCTTTTTAGCGAGCAATGGTCATCTTTATTATAGTATGCTGGCTTTCATAAACTTGTTAGGAATTCTTCTGTGGGATCTTTATGGTCACTGTCTTTGCTTCTGTGTATTCCCGCAATCCATATTCACCCCTGAAATAAAGAAAAACAAATAAGAAATTATGGGCTTAAGATTCAGTTAAACTGCAAAGTAAAAAAAAAATCAAAGTGACATCCCAATATAAAGTGTTTTATTAAAGACAGAGACATTTGGATTGCTATATGATAGCTTAAAATCTGTACATGCCAGAATGTTTCAACTATGGAAGTAAAATATGGGACATTTATTTATTAAAAATGTAATGCACTATTTTCTAGCATTACTTTCTCCTGACCACTCAACTCTCTTTGTCACTTACCCCTGATGCCTGAACTCTCTGCATTACTTACTTCTAACCTCTGCACTCTGTACGTTACTTACACCTGGCTCCTGCACTCTCTGTGTTACTTTCTCCTGATCTCTGCACTCTCTGTGCTACTAAAGTTGGCCATAGATAAGGAGAATTCGGACAAAAATTCTTAGAAAAGAATGTTCTAAGAAAGTTCATTAATTTTTCTAATCATTAGTGGATCAAATCAATGTTTGTTTTCAACTGCTGTAATGAGAAAATTCAAAGGAACAGGATGGAACATTTTTTCGGACTAATGAATTTCTAACAGTGTATGTGGCCTTTGTTCGATAAAGTCCATTCATTCCAAAAAGCAAATAATACAAGCAAACAAAATATTATAAACAATATTCAAATGTTCTGAGAATTTTCATACATATTTTGGTAAGACTTTTCCTAAAAATTTTCCTTCGAAATTCTATCTATCTATGTCCAGCTTTACACTTGACCTCTGCACTCTATGTGTTACTTACTCCTGATCCTTGCACCCTGTATATTACTTACGCCTGACCCCTGCACTCTGCGTTTTATGCATTTGTGACCCAGAACAGAGTATGTTCAGGCTTTATTTAACGTCTTAGGTTTGTCAAACCTCACTGTTGCCACAATTTGCTCTGGTGCACATTGCTGCACTAATTCTCTTTTGCTTTATTTTCTTTACATATCTTCCTCTTGTACCAAAAGTCTGTTTTTGGGCATGTTACTAATGGGGCATGTTAATAATGGGGGAGTAATTTTATAGGTGTGGCTACAAATGGGGCCATTTTGTGGCTGTGGTTAAAAGTGGGTATGGTCAGTAGGGTGTCCCCACATTTAATTTTCAAAATCTGGTAGCCTTAACTTAATAAGTGAATGAAAGGTGCAATAAAGTAGACATTTACTTTGCAGAGAATAACAAATCATGTGCAAGGAAAATGAAAAAAAATTCTGTTTGAACATGAACATGTTCTACTCCTTCAGTAAATCAACCCCACTGTTTTCATAGTTCTTATTTAAGGGTTTGGCAACCCAAACAACCGTTACTATCGAGACACACAAAGAGCTTGCTAAAGGTTTATACAACCAAGCCTTAATGTAAATATAAAGACAAAAACTGACTGTGGGTCTACTGTGCCCAGTTTCTGACTGTAGGTTCCCCTTTTATTATATTTAGCTACTAGAGAAAACCTAATTTATAATTTTTTTTATAGTAGAAATATTGGAGTTGATTTACTAAAGACAAATAGACTGTGCACTTTGCAAAGTGCAATAGCATTCTGCAAGTGCAGTTGCTCCAGAGCTTAGTAAATCCGGTAAAGCTTCCCTTTGCCAATAATACCCAATCACATGCCAGGAAAATAAAAAACAGCATTTGTGCTTGCACACGATTAGATGAAGGAAGTCAGCAGAGCAGCTTCTGCTCATTTACTAAGTTCTGGAACAACTGCACTTGCAGAGTGCAATTGTACTTTGCAAATTGCAGTTTAATTGCCTTTAGTAAATCAAACCCATAGTCAATTAATAATTGACTAGCTTGTGCAGGGGATAGTTGGAACACAATGGCAGAGATTTACTAAAACTGGAGAGTGCAAAATCTGGTGCAGCTCTGAATAGAAACCAATCAGCTTCCAGGTTTTATTGTAAAAGCTTAAAAGAACAAGCTGAAGCTGGAAGCTGATTGGCTGCCATGCACAGCTGCACCAGATTCTGATCACTCCAGTTTGAGTAAATCTACTCCAATGTGTGATATTGAGACCTTATATTGCAAACCTAGGTATAGACACTATAAACATATTCCAACTTACCAAACTTCTGGGCTATGTCCTGTCCAACTGCTATTCCCCTGTCCAGTAAGAGCAATTCAGAGGCCATTATGGCTATTTTTATTGTACAGGGTGCTGACAGGTGGAAGAAGAGTAGCCCTGAAGTCAGAAACAAGCCTCTAATAACAAAAAAGAAAACATAACCAGAAAGTAACAAAAAAAGTATGTTTTCTTGCTAGTAAAGTTAATAGCAGATGCCTTTTGGTGACTGCTCGTAGGCTGGAGTTTTGCATTCTCTGAAAAGTATATTCTCTGATCAAGTTGCGATGGATGGTTCCATTCCAAGACTCATGTACTATGTGCTGTTCTTGTGTAGTGGCTCCATGACTACATTTAGTTTGGTTGCCCCAGAGTTAAATGCGGAAAATGGTTTGGGGAATGGATTCTTTAACTGCAGCCTCTTGACTCAGGTGTTTGGCTTTAGGAGAGATGTTCTTTACATGTATTTTTTATAAATAACTACATATGTTACAGTGGTAATGCCATATTTGACATGAAAAGGTTGACACTAACACCTGAATACATGTGAAAACAATTTCTTGTATAAAATGGCAAAGTACTGTCATTCATATATAGAACGTGATGATTTCATAAGATATTTAAAAGTGAACTTACATTTCTCTTCCATTTCCAGACATTTTGTATCCTCCAAATGGGCTTTGAGCATTTAAAGCATTGTAACAATTTATCCTGCGTTAGGAAAATATGCACATTTAGTTTGCATGAAAACTATATTACTTGCAAATTTTCAGAGGCTAACAGTTCCACATACTCTAAATATATTGTTTAGCACTCGCCTCTAAACATTCATCATTGTACTGGGAAAATGTCTAGTCAACTCAATACACATTAGCAGGACAGGATTTAGTTGCTAAAATACACATCAGTTGACCAGTGGTACAATACACATGGGAATTCATTTATAAACATCAAAGTGTTGTGTATTGCAGCTAAATTTAAGGTGATATTTATCCAAAGAGAATTTCTGGTGAATAAATGAAAATTTTTCAAGGTATTAAACTTTAGAGTTACAGGATTGGTCTTTTTTTGTGCATTCTTTGCCATGCCTGGAGGATATCTCTAATCGGAGTAAACAATTTTTTCTGGTATACTTAGCAGATAGCCTGTGTAATTAAAAAAGAAATACAGCCTTACAATTTGTGTTAAAAATAGAGTTTTTAGTGCACAACATTTGCAAATATACAGTATGTGGAAACCCCACTGCCTTGTCTGATCCCCTCTGTAAAAAGCAGTCTTCTCTTTAGACTATGAGAGCCTCCATGCTGGAATCTACTTTATATAGCAATTGATAAATAGCTATAATAAACCCCACGAGATATGGTAATGATTAAAGAACTAATTAAATCAAACTTCAAATCAATTTTGTGATTTTTTTAAAGATAATTTTTACTTATTTCAACTCATTGGATCTTTAGCTTCATATTATTGCTCAAGACTAAAATAGTGTTTAGTTAGCTTAGTGAATAAATTGCATCTATGTTAACCTAAACATGAGCAAGGCAAAATACTTTTTTTTATTCTCCAACACACTATTCGCTACTCAAAATAATCTGTTTTCCTTTTAATTTATGCTGTTTGCATCCATAATTGTTAAGGGTTGGAATGCTACTAAATTATTTTTTACGATACGTCCCATGCACGATTATTACACCACACTATATTATTGTATAGTGTATATATATATATATATATATATATATATATAAAAATAATGTATATTATACTATACAATAGCATATTATTAACTTTATTACCTTTATATATATGAATTGCCAACAAATTAAAAGTATATGTATAGCATATTTAAAGCATAGCTAACCCAGGGCAATAATTTATCACAGCTGACCAATCTTCAGAATTAGTGGCTGCATTAGTTTTTTTTATATACGGTTTTAAAATATTTTTTTTTTAAACCTGGTATTCCAGCCAGTAACACATTCTGTCCTAGGGTGACAACATTCATTCAGTGAACTGTGTTTAGAGCCATTGTTGCCACCTTAAAGTGACACTAAAGCTTAATTTTTTAAAAATAACAAACACATCTATACTTACCTGCTCTGTGCAGTGATTTTGCACAAAGCAGCACCGATCAGGGGTGGACTGACCATTTGAAAACTCGGGCACTGCCTGAGGGCCCGGAGTCAGTAGGGGGCCCCATGAGATGCCCCTGGTACCTTTTTCATAGGCTTTTTTGAGTTTGGGCAAGAGCACAGGGGCCCCATGATCCCCTATTGCCCGGGGGCCCCATGAGTTGTTAGTCCGCCCCTGGCACCGATCCTCTTCTTTTCGAGTCTCTGCCGGCACTCCTAGCTTCTCCCACTCAAGCAGTGCCCCCAGGAAAAGCTGCTCAACCTCGAGCCACTGCTCTCTCCTCATTGGCTCACTGGCTGTGATTCAAGCAGCAGGAGCTGTCTTGGCAAATAAGGAGGAAGAGTCCCCGGACAGCAGAAGCTGTTGAGAACATCGCTGTATCGGAGGGGGCTCAAGTAAGGATTGGGGAGGGGGAGCTGTGGGACCACTCAACACAGAGGGTTTTTTTACCTTCCTGCATAGAATACATGAAGGTAAAAAACTTTGAGCCTTTAGAACCACTTTAAGGCGGGACTCAAAAACCACCCCATCTCCCTTTCTCCATAACATAGGGAAGGGGAGCTGTATTCCTCAACAATAGCAGGGAGCAATGTAACTAACAGAAATGCAGCATAGATAGAGAGCATAGGAAGTTACATCTTACAACATTTTTGACAAGCCTAACAGGCACTTATTCACCAGATGTAACAAGGAGCTTTCAATAGTATATTTAAGAGACTAAATAAGAGAAATTCATTGTTAGTGTTTAAATACCCTTTAATTGATTAATTCTGCTCCAGGGGCGGACTGACCATTTGGAAACTCGGGCACTGCCCGAGGGCCCGGGGTCAGTAGGGGGCCCCATGAGATGCCCTTGGTACCTTTTTCATAGGCTTTTTTGACTTTGGGCAAGGACATAGGGGCCCCATGAGTTGTCAGTCCGCCCCTGTTCTGCTCTTTCCTTACTAGTGATGGGGGCAAAAATTCAGAACGTCAAGAGCTCCAGTCTTAGTTTGAGGTTCTGCTGAAATGTCCTTGCAGCAGTTTCATTTGTATTTTTACTATAAAATTCAGAATATAGTTGTTATTAAATAGCTCCTTGGGCTATATGCAGCATAAATAGCACTGTAGCTAAAAACAAAAAGCTGACGTCATATATGCTTTAATTAGGCTTCTTTGCTATTAAAGTATTTTCATGGACTCAGAAAAGGCCATATTGATCTATATAAAAATGCCAAAGGAAGAAATCCAAATCAGCCTGTATTTTTATTTAAGAAACTGCATTTTGAAAAAGACCGATATTGCAGGATCTTAAAGTTTTTTTTCATATTTAGTAAGGTTTACATTAATTTAAAGTTAGATTGTATTGGATATATAATTGTTTGTCCATTTGTTTATATTAATTGTTATGATAATGCATAATAAAAAAAATCAATACAGCATAAGAACAAAAATTAATTTAAAAAGTTGGAAAATAAAATCTAGAGGTTTTTCTTACCACACTGTTCCAGCCTGCATTGCAGAGGAGACCGTAAGGGCCTTGTTAATATCATTGGTAAATACAGCTGCAACTAGCCCAAAGTCAGAATTGTTGGCTCTTTCAATAACTTCCTCCATCGTTTTAAACCTTAATATTTGTTGGACAGGCCCAAATATCTAAAAGGAATGTTTTTGTTTAAAAAATAAGTGTCTTTTTCTTTTACAATGTGTAATTTCCATATACAATTTACTAACTACACAAGCATTCCTGGACATATATGGTTAAAGAGATCCCAAAAAGATGCATAATTACTGCAATAATTGTATCATTTTTAAACTGAGTAGATTCATTAACATAACACTGAAAACTCTCCAACACATTCTGGTACATGGTATATATTTTATTTCAGGATTCAAAAGAAACAATTACTCAGGGAGCTCATGTACTGTGATTACAGTGTGAACCAAAAATACACTATAATGCCAAAAGTATTGGGACACCTGCCTTTACACACGCATGAACTTTAATGACATCCCAGTCTTAGTCCGCAGGGTTCAATATTGAGTTGGCCCACCCTCTGCAGCTATAACAGCTTCAACTCTTCTGGGAAGGCTGTCCACAAGGTTTTGGAGGGTGTCTATGGAAATGTTTGACCATTCTTCCAGAAGCGCATTTGTGAGGTCAGGCACTGATGTCGAATGAGAAGGCTTGGCTCGCAGTCTCCGCTCTAATTCAACCCAAAGGTGTTCTATTGGGTTAAGATCAGGACTCTGCAGGCCAGTCAAGTTCCTCCACCCCAAACTCGCTCCATGTCTTTATGGACCTTGCTTTGTGCACTGGTGTGCAGTCATGTTGGAACAGGAAGGGGCCATCCCCAAACTGTTCCCACAAAGTTGGGAGCATGAAATTGTCCAAAATGTCCTGGTATGCTGATGCCTTAAGAGTTCCCTTCACTGGGACTAAGAGGCCAAGTCCAACCCCTGAAAAACAACTCCACACCATAATCCCCCCTCCACCAAACTTTACAGTTGGCACAGTGCATTCAGGTAAGTATCGTTCTGGCAACCGCCAAACCCAGACACGTCAATTGGATTGCCAGACAGTAAGCGTGATTTGTCACTCCAGAGAACTTGTCTCTACTGCTCTAGAGTCCAGAGGCGGCGTGCTTTACACCATTGTATTTGACACTTTTCATTGCATTTGGTGATGTAAGGCGTGCATGCAGCAGCCATAGAAATCCATTCCATGAAGCACGCTACACACTGTTGTTGTGCTAATCTGAAGGCCACATGAAGGTTGGAGGTCTTTAGCTATTGACAGTTGACGACTTTTGTGCACTGTGCGCTTCAGCGTGCACTGACCCCGTTCTGTCATTTTACGTGGCCTACCACTTCATGGCTGAGATGCTGTCGCTTCCAGTTGCTTCCACTTTGTTATAATACCACTAACAGTTGACCATGGAATATTTAGTAGCAAGGAAATTTCACAGATGGACTTATTGCACAGGTGGCAACCTATCAAGGTGCCACACTTGAATTCACTGAGCTCCTGAGGATGACCCATTCTTTCAAAAATGTTTGTAGAAGCAGTCTGCATGCCTAGGTGCTTGATTTTATACACCTGTGGCCATGGAAGTGTTTGTTACACCTAAATCCAATTATTTAGAGAGGTGTCCCAATACGTTTGGCAATATAGTGCATATTGGTAGGTGTCAATACACAAATATACTGCAACCATATTGAAAAGAAATTGTGAAGAGAGACACTATCTTACAGGTACCGAATCAAATTTTAATTAAAGTTTTCCAGAATACTGATTAAAAATTTAGTTAAAAGTACCACGTCCCCGTCAAACTCCCCTTCCCTCCTCATCCCAATGAACCCTACAAAATGAAAAATAGACCAAAATGAAAGAGCAAAAACCACCTCATATCCCACCATCCTGCCATAGAAATAATGGGAAATAAAAATAAAAAGGGTCAATGAATCATTGCCTCTTTTTATTATTTCTATGCCAGGGAGAACACACTTTGGTGATGGAGTGTTTTTTTTTTAATCTTTCACTTTTCATTATTTTTTATTTTTCTGACGTTTTGTGGGAATGGTAGGGTTCATGGGGTTGGGGAGGGAAGGGAAAGTTGAGGGAGACTTGGAATTTTATATTCAATTTGTAATGAGTATTTAATTTCAGTCAGTGGTTGCTTATAATTTAATATACTACTCTTAATGTCCCTACTATAGAAACGATGGATGGACATACTAGGGTTTGAAAGGTAAACTTGGATTGTGGAACATGTGGAAACATGTACTAGATTTTGTGGGAACCCTATTGATATACACTATATATATATTTATTGTTGTGAATTGTCCTTGTGGCACACCTTACCTCCTCTTTTGCAATTCTCATGTCATCTGTCACGTTGGAAAAGACAGTAGGCTCTATGAAGAGTCCTTTCCTTCCCAATGGTTTGCCACCACATTCCAATTTGGCACCTTCGGCAATACCACTCTGAATCAGTTCCAAGATTTTATTGTACTGCTTCTTATCAGTCTTCAGAAGGAAAGAAAAAGCAAAAAATATGTTTATTAATATATACAGTTATACAGTAGAAGGCTGGAGAAGTTAAAAATACAAATGATTCATAAGGTTTTACTTATCTACTTAAAAAAGTCTACTCAATAGATAGAAGTCTGTTATACCTGACTTACCATTGCAAGAGGGCAATGAGTCTACAGTCTTCTATGTTAATACCAGAACATCTGCACTGCATTGATGTTTCAAGAGGGTGAAACTCCATAAAAATGCCAGCCTAAAGATGAAGAGGTCTCCCCCTGCACCTCACAATAATGTGTGGGAATGTAAAGGGAGTAACTTTTTTACCCATTATTGGGTAAGTAATCTGCTATTCCTTATCCTGGTGGTGTAGTAATGGAATTAATGCGACCTGGCCAATTAATGTAGCACATAAAGAACCCCACATTGTTATATCTCCTCTAGGCCTTTAACAAAGGGAACTGAAGGTATTACCTGGGGAAAAAGGGCATATAGGCTGGTATCACCTGCATGTGCACACTGGGCTGTTATCCAAACAAACTTTTGGTAAATATTGTAAAAATTAAAAAAGGTAAAGAAGTAATAAAAAAATTGGTTTACCATGTTGGTATCTTTAGGGGGTGGGCATGACTTGTGGATCTGGTTGTATCTACCAATATCCATTATGTATGAATCAATTCAATCTATATCAGATCTTAAGTGGCACCAATAATAGATAAATCTATATCTTCATTAATGACTTATATCAAAGTATACAGCACTCTACTGTAAATATTCAATGAACACTTCTTGTGAAACCCCCCCTGACTATATTCTCTAGTTCCCTATGTTAATTTAACTGTCAGCCAAAAATCAATGCAAGTCCTTTGAAGGAATGATCAGTCTTATATTAACAGATGTGCAAACTGTTATGCCATTAATTTCTTAATACCTGTGGGCCTTGTTCTGTCGTTGGATCAAAAGGACTCCCAACTACTCTCCTCTTTGCACGTTCAACACTTCTCCGAACAAATTCATCATAGATCGACTCCTCAACAAATGTTCTGGAGCCTGCAGTACAACATTGTCCTTGGTTGAAGAAGACACCTTGGTGTGCTTGTTCCACTGCATAGTCCACTGCAAGAGATATAGAAATACCAAAATGATCAGGAATATGTATAAAAATATGCATTGTGAAATAAAAAGAGATCCACCAGCCAGCAAGCAGGACATAAGGGACGTAAAGGAGCATAAGAACAGTGATGAGATCATCCCTCTGGTCAACACATGTGCATGCAGCCAAGCCTAAAGGGCTTCTTTTACATGCCCTCCCCGTCTCAGACGACAGAATTACAGGTGACTGATATTAAAACAAATTCATGTCCCTACATTAGTTACATTAAAAAAATAAATGTAACATTTTTAATACACATAGAACCATATTAACTAATTATTTTTTATATGCATTGATTTCAACTTTGAGAGGTTCAGTTGATGTTCTACTAATATAAGAATGGAGAAAACGTGTGACCTAAGCATCTCTGACTATTAATTGTAGGTACCAGACATTACTGGATACTACATTAGTTCTAACCAAGTGTACAAAATGTTTAAAAGAATGATCACCATGCATTAGCAAATAAAAAATATAGCAATATAACATTAAAAAAGTTTAAGGAATGATCATCATTCAGGAACAAAGGTTATACACCTTACAGTATTTCCTGTGTTATTACCAGAAAAGGAATACAATTATATTACTAAATGTTTTAGATCCCATATGTTTAAGCCCAACCCAATCTGCCCAGTCTCTACCAAACCAAAAAGACTTCAATATACACTTACGGTCTGCATCTGGAAAAATAATGTTAGGACTCTTTCCCCCTAATTCAAGGGTCACTCTTTTCAGATTGCTTCTTCCTGCTGCTTCTTGGATCTGTTTTCCAACCTAGAATTAAAAGAAGGAGTTAATACAGACAAAACAGTAGTAGTAAAATGTGCAAAATGTAACATTATTGCCTTTCAAATAAATAAGTAACCGACTTAAATCACTTTGTGAATTTCCTATTTTTACAAAGTTTGGGTTTAGTATATTCAGATAAGCCAAAAAGACCTATGGACATAACCATAGTCATAACACTAGCACTACATCTAAACTAGGGTATAGGATGGGGGTGGGAGAGTAATACAGGCTTTTATCATAATAACCCACTTAGTACTGTGGAAAAGGGGACACAATTGTAGTATTTGTTATTGGGGCTATGCCTATTTGACATGTTTGTAGACCATTCTTGAGTTAAGAGCACTATAACTAAAATAAAATTAAAAGGCACAAAAGTTTGCTAAAAGTGTTTCAAACTAAAAGCACATTATTCTAGTGAGATTTTTCTTTATAACGCTATAAACATCGTTTAAATTTTCTACTTTTATTTTATATATCTTAAAAAGCCTTTAACAATTTAACCATAAATATATTATTGTTCTGTTTTCAGTCCAGAGTATATGGTGGTAGGGTCGATTTTACGTTACAGGTTTCTGTCTTCCCTCTAACTATACTTTATAAAAGTAAATGTACACTAAAGAAAGAAATCAAACAGGACATGTGAAAGCCTTATTTCCAGTCCTAGCTATGAGGATTAGTAGATAATTGTGCCAGGTATGGTTCCATTTCTGACCTGAAATTGGATTCTTTTACCATGGTTTTCTTTAGGCCCATAATATGAAATTGCTTAGTAAAGGGTTATATTATCCCGTATTTTATTTTCTTCCTTTCTCATAAATCTATTTCATATACTCCCTGCTTGTAGAAATATATAAACTTTATTAACAGAAGTCATTTCTAAGACCATGAAATGAACTAATGGAAGTGTATTATATTTAGAGAAAACAGAGCTCAGTGCAACCTATGAAAAGCACACATGAAATAGGCAGTAAAGTGTTTATTACAGAGAAGTGAACATAGTAGGCCAACATCCCCGCTATTTGCAGCCTTTTTAGAAAGTACAATATTAGCAAACAACATAATGGTGTTTATCTATTAAAGGCAAATAGACTGTGCACTTTTCAAATGCAGGTGAATTGATTTTCCCCAGAGCTTAACTGGTTGACGCCAACAGTACGCAAATATGTGTCCTCTTGGCGGCTCGCTACTTGCAATAGGGACCATTATGATCACGTGACCGCTGCTACAGCCAATCACATGATCACATGACCTTAAACCCCACCTCGTGAAGTCACAAACCTCTTAAAGGGCTAGGAGGCGCTGGCATCAAGGGGTTAATGAATGTTGTGAAGATTCACTTTGTAGAGAATACCCAATAAGGTGCAAGGAAAATTAAAAAAATATAATTTTTGCTTGCACATGTTTGGATGATGGAAATCAGCAGAACCTCACCACATTTACAAAGCTCTAGGGAAAATGAGTGCAACTGCACTTGCAAAGTCTATTTGCCTTTAGTAAATCAAACCCAATGTTGCATGGATACCAAACTAGTTGGATGGGCAAATGCTAGCTTAAGATACTTTTATCATACATTGGGGTTGATTTACTAGAACTGGAGAATGCAAAATCTGATGCAGCTCTTCATAGAAACCAACCAGCTTGCAGTTTTTTTTTTTTTGTTAAAGCTTAATTGAACAAGCTGAAGTTAGAAGCTGGTTGGCTACTGTGAGAGCTGCACCAGATTTTGCCCTTTCCAGTTTTACTAAATCAACCCCAATATCTATTCTGGTGGTCATGAGCATGCCTATAAATCCCTCGTAATCTAGATGACCAACAGTTACCCTGTTTGGCTATATTGGATGGGATTGGCTACCTGATTGCTGGTTAAGTCTGTTGGTTGATGGCAATTAAAATGAAAACTGTAAATTTGTTTCAAGCATGTAGGATGCTAATTACCTAGTAAGCAGCAAACTGCTGGAGAGGCACTTTCAGCTGCAATGTTTCAAAATTTCTGGTTCTGCATAAACTAACAGTAGGCAAAGTAAATCAAAATCCAATTTAAACTATTCTCAAAGATTTGGATAACCTTATAGGTACTAGTTGTCAGATAGCAGGGTTGTAAGGACTGCACTGTATTTACCCCAATGGCACACATGTGTACTGATCAACTATGGGAATTTTATCTATTTTTTTTTTTTTTGTGCAAGAGCTATACTTAGTAACAGATGGTATAACAACACCTTTACTTTAACACTACAACTGTTGGGCCAGTAAGTACACCGAATGCTTCTACTGGAGGTTAAGCCTGGTTTTTAATGTATCCTGCTTCTGGCTCATTAGTTACCCAAAACATTGCACAACAGAGTTAAGAACTCATTATTTAGCCAGAGGTCAGAAGCTCTGTATATACTATACATGACATTAATCTCACTTAAGAAATGAAAGGGAAATCCTGCTGAGTAAATTAGAATCAGTGGTAATACAGCTGTTTGCTACAAACATTTGTTTGGCATTAAACTATTGCAATTCTCCTGTAGTGCACTTTGATGGCTTCACTTGTATCTAGTTGAGTAATGATGAGATCATAGTTTGTATAAAGAAAAACACATGGCCAAGCATAACAGAACGTAAAAATAGGTTTAACAGTGTCTGCGTATACTTTTGTATCTAAATCAGCATTTACGGTACTTATTTTGTTTTGTGCTGTGAAAGCAAATTATAATACTGTCAAAAATGGCTCCTGTCAATATAGTCATTTTAGGAAAAAAAGTTGAATGTGTAATTAAGCTGTGATATTTGCCAAATACAAAGCACAGCCTCCTCACATTGCACAATAAAGTTAAGATGCAGTCTTCCACTAGGAAAGAAATAACTATTTCTTAGTAAACTGTATGTACATAATAGGGGATATTTACTAAAACTGGTGCACACAGAATCTGCAGCTGTTCATAGTAACCAATCAGCTTTTGGGTTTAATTGTCAAAGCTTAATTGAACAAGCTGAAGTTAGAAGGTGATTGTTTACTGTAAACCACTGCATGTGATTCTGTGTGCACCAGTTTTAGTAAATCTCCCCCACTGTCTGGAAACAAGATTCAGGAACCAGCAGATACTAGCCTGAACGTTACGTTCATTATTTTAGACTTGAATAAAGACATTTTTGATTTTTAAATTGGTGTCTCTACTTATCGCTTCACCTGATCTGAGCTATTAAAGCAAACTTGACCTGTAATGACCCCTCCCCCCCTTCCCAAAGGGTATAAATTAATGTTATCAATAACGTGCCAGCACTTCCCATCAGATCAATTCACTTGTGCGGATCTTAGGACCAGTCTGTATGCAAGACTCCATCAATGTATCTACAGTTATTACACCTGAGAATTTCCACTAGTAATGTATCTACAGTTATTACACCTGAGAATTTCCACTAGTAAGAGAAAATATTTGTCCTAGAATGGATCTTTTTACTCATAAGATAAATCAAGGCATCAGTAGAAAGCTCAAGATTTCTGTGATTAGACCAAGGCCACCATATTGTTAGCAAAACTGGAGCACTGTCAGTAAGCTTAGATAAATACAGCTACCCAGTAAAACAGCTTAAAAGTAAACTACACACAACAAGTATAACACATGAAATGTTTATATAGAGTTAAAACATTTCCTTGCATTTTAGTATCCACTTCTTTGGTCCTGTTGCAGCTTTATTAAGACCATAAATCATAGTCTTAATTTCCCTAATTAGTCATAATCAGGATTTCCCTTTCATGGCAATATGAACAGGTCCATAAAGCTATTTATGTGGTATTATGACCTGGCCCACAAAGCTTTCAGAGAAGTCCTTGCAATAACATAAGCAACCAACTTCCAAGTAATCAGTTTAGTAATCATTTACAATCCTTTCAAAACAAAGCATGGAGACTTCAGATAATCTCACAGTAAACCTGTGAAAACATCATGCACACTAATGTATTTTAAATATTCTGAACAAGCAGTAAAAGCACCTTAAAACAAGGTCTCAATCATCTCTGTATCTGTAAGCATTTTGAAGGAATTAATTTATGAAATTCACAACAGAGGCATTGGGGTTGATTTGCTAAAACTGGAGCGTGCAAAATCTGGTGCAGCTGTGCATTGTATTTAATCAGCTTCTAACTTCGGCTTGTTTAATTAAGCTTTGACAAAAAAACAGGAAGCTGATTAGTTTCTGTGCAGAGTTGCACCAGATTTTGCACTCTCCAGTTTTAGTAAATCAACCCTATAGTCTTTTTGTATGAGAACAGATATTGGCAGCCTACCAGCCCTTTAACATAAACAGTCAGCAGGGTGTTTCTAGTTTTCACATGGGTGGCCCAAGCAGAGCTGCCTGTCAGTTTTTCCGACAGATCTGAATGGAAGCTCCATGTTAGTCTATGCACAGATGAATGCAAATAGACTTGCATGCATCCATTTACAACCGACACCCCCAAGCCTGTCCAGGTCTGAAATAAAAGCAAAAAAGGTTTACATCTCTTTCCAGTGAAGGGATGTGTTGCCCTCTATTGTCTGTATTTGTAAGTGGCTGTGCTTGTAATTACCACATAAGTGGTTATAAACAGTTACTTCCTATTCCTGCTAGTTGGGTCAGAAAACCAGATTGGAGGACTGTGATATTTTATAAAGGGAAGTTTCCAGGAAGCAGATAGAGAACTGAGCTACATGACTTTTACACACAGAAGCTGATGCTGCTGTATTTTACCCAGACCAGAAGCAGAGACTATTAAGCAAGTATTCCTATATTCTAATAGTTTACTGCAGCTGCCCATAGCTTCTTGAGTGTGTATCTGAATCCTTATGATAATTGTTTCTTTGTCCTTATGTATAAGTGTATCTTGTTATTATCTCACATGCAGAGTGCCAGATAGCTTGGTGTGTGCTACTGTATGTGTGTAATGACCACCTTCTAGTATATTAGTAGGTGAACCTGTTCAAAGTTACATAGGTAGTCTGGCAGAAAAAAGACAAACGTTCATCCAGTTCAACCATTAAAAAAAAGTTATAATCTTACACCCACAGTTGATCCAAAGCAAGGCAAAAAAACCCCAGCAAAGCATGATCCATTTTGCTACTGCAGTGGCAATCAGATATTCCCTGGATCAACTTTACCTATAAATATTGGTATCCAGTTATATTCTGTGTACCCAAAAAAGAATCCAGGCCTTTTTTTAAACAATCCACCGAGCTGGCCAGAACCAACTCTTGAGGGAGTCTATTCCACAATTTCACAGCTCTCACTGTGAAGAAACCTTTCCATGCTTGGAGATTAATTTCTTTTCCTCCAAACGTAAAGAGAACCCCCTTGCCCTCTGTGATGACCTCAGGGTGAATAACTCTACACCGAGTTCAATATATAGTTTATATGCAGCTCATTGCAATATAGTTTATATGCAGCTCCTGTTAATTTAGTTTAGTTATCTTCTGTTCTGCGATTCTGTAGCTAGTTTTAGCTCAGGGTTCAGTAACCAGCATAGGCTAGAGTCAGATTAGGCATCCAAAAGCCACTTGATGGTTAGAGGTCTGGTTGCATGGCAGATTAGAAGCTACTAGGCACTAAGACACAGAGAAGACAGGCTGACTCTGCATTCCAATGCCACACCACAGCTTCTACTGGTGAGAAGCTGCATTCCAAGCTGGTTGGACTATGGTTGGAGGTTCTTCCAGTCAGTGCTGATCTTGTCTTCAGGTTTATGGAACCAAGACAAATGTCACATCACGATCATCCTCAGTGGTCCCTCCAACTGAACTTTGCTGCAATGTTCATCAGGAGGTATCTTTTTAATAGCTATGTATACTCAGGTATATATGAAAAATTGCATCAGGACTCTTGTTAGGCACTTCGCTGATAATACCTGTTTGTACATTGGATAGATGTATTATTATTAATATTTTCTTACATAAAGCTAGTGTTATTTCCATATTGGTGTGCATCTGTATACTTATGGTTACTGTTACATGCTGGTTGCACCAGTTCCTCTGTTCCTAATCATTTTGATTAGGTTACTGGTTACTTTCCCAGGAAAGGGATCTCCTCAGTTTACAGTGGCCTTTCCTGGGTGGAGGCACTGTCAACTTTATTATCACACTCACTGTTCCACTTAGCAAAGGTTCTAGTTCTCTTATTTACTCACAGGTTTAGTGTTATTTTCATACCCCCTCCCCAACAAAAAGAGGGCTACACAATTTTTTCAGATATAAACATGATGAATCTAAGGTAGTTTGATGTAAAAGGACGCATGCCCATTTACATCCACCTGCCCAAAGACTTAATGTCGGTTAATTAAAATCTTGGAGGGCAGAACTGAATGGAGACTAGACAGGGATGTCACAGAAGTGACATCTGTACTTTTCAGCTCCCCTGCTGATCAGAACAGACACAGCTGGTGTGAAGGGACCCTGAGAAACTGACTGAAAACTGACTTTAAAGTTTCTGTTGTGTTCTTTATGCAATAATACCTGTACACTAAAAGTAGCTAAAGAAGTTAGTGGTGACTCGTTGTAAAGCTTTTTTTTGCTGCTGCTTGTTAACAATATGTAATTTAATGTCCATAGTCTGTGTACAGGTGCACTTTAAGCTTCAGGTAGCTTTTCTGCTTTTTGGTCAATGTTTTTTGTTGGTTTTGCCAAGCAATCACATCTCTAAAAACCAGGTACCTGCAGGACTTGCCAGCTCTGGAATTTACAAGTTGCAGCTTTAATGTGACAGTTGCTTGGACAGAAAATAAAACTGTCATAAGAAAGAAGGGGACCAGCTTTCTTTTCCTCAAATAATTTTTTTTTCATCAATTGAAAGTAAAGTCTTGTGTTTACAAATTGTTATTACAGTGAGTGTGTTTAAGATGTGATAATGTTGACCACTGTCACAGGAAATCTAGAATATGGAACAGTTTATGTTAGCCTTGCATTTAAAACTTCCATCTGTTCTTGCTTAGCATCTTAAGAGACCCCTTCTCTCATATTAGTGTTGCTTGCCACTTCCTATTACAAAGCCTGTTGTATTACTAGCTAAGAAGCTTCCCTTTAAAAAACTATGACAGCTTTTGATCTTTAAACCCTGTTAACTAGTTTCAGCTGAAACTAAATATTCTGTTATGGAGGAACTGTGGTCTGTAGTCTTGACACCAATGATTGCATTACAATTAAACACTTTACCAAAGCTAAATACTTTTTTGGACACTGGACAGAAAGAATCAGGAAATGTTGAAAGCGTTGTACTTTGTGGCTTCAAAAAAACAAAGTGTTTTGGCTTGGCATAGAGAAATGAAATGCTTAATTGCTATATTAACATGCACAGTTTTCCACCCCATAGTAAATGATGACAATGATTTTTTTCCTCAACTGTCATTCAGTAGAACTGAGTACTATTCGGTAACACATAAATAGTGTTTTTTTCTGATGTGGTCATTATGCAAATACATTTACTATCTACAAGTAAGCCTTTACACATCAATGTTCTTATATATCAGCTATGGTTGAGGCTATGTTTCAACTGTGAGCTAAAGCTTTGCTGAATTCCATCATCCAATCATGTTCAAGGAAAAATTGTGTTTTTTTTTCCTTGCATATGATTGGGTATTCTTTGCAAAGTGAGGTCAGGTTCATTTTAAAGTGGTTGTAAAGGCTCAAGGTTTTTTACCTTCATGCATTCTATGCATGAAGGTAAAAAACCTTCTGTGTGCAGCAGTGCCCCCAGCCCCCTCAATACTTACCTGAGTCCCATCGCAATCCATCGATGTGCATAACATCCTCAGCTGTCCCGGGTCTCTGCCTCCTCATTGGCTGAGAACGCAAGCCAGAGCCATTGGCTCCTGCTGCTGTCAATCACAGCCAGTCAGACAATAACGAGAGAGAGGGGGCAGGGCTAAATCACGGCTTTGTGTGTATATGGACACACGGAGCAGCAGCTTGGGAAAACGTCTCATCGGTTCTCCCAATAACAAGCTACACCTGACAGAAAGGGGACCTGAGAAGAGGAGGATCTGGGCTGCACTGTGCAAAACCACTGCACACAGCAGATAATAAGTATAACATGTTTGTTATTTTCCCCCCCCAAAAAAAGCAAACCTTTAGTATCACTTTAAGAGGTTCTGTTCATAGGTTTTCCACATAAAAGTAAGGCTGGCCATACATTATACAATTTTCTTGTACAATTTTCCTTTGGAATTACTAAAACCATATAATATGAGGTCAAATCTAAATACTTTCAATGTGTATGCACTCAGGCAGGCCTTTGCACTACATAGGTGAACGTTAATGCAAAGGAAATCGAATAAGAAAATTGTATAATGTATGGCCGGCTTAAATGCAATACAAAAGTAACTTGAAGCAGGTCTATGCAGCTCAGGGAAACTCAGAAGAAGCTTTAGGTAAATCCTTCAGCAGCCAAGAGGCAAATCAAAGCAACCCAAACCCAAGTGAAAGCAGTTCAGCGACACCTGAAAGCATACTGCATTTTACTTGCATCTCAGTCTGATGCCTTTGTAAATGAGCCATACGATTCCTGTAGAATGCCATGGTGTTTTCAGATAACTATGAGTAAATGGAAAATTATTGGATGAATGATTGGAAGTGGGTCTAAGATTGGTACTGAAAAAGAACCAGTATAAATATTTAATTCTAATGTAGCCAAAATCTACAATACTTTGGTGTAAGCTCATAAACCCATATAAGAGTTCTCATATGTGATCATTTACTCTAGTTTCTAAAAAAATAAATTAAGTTCACACTACAGTGTAGGATGGAAGACCATCCATTTAGAAAATAGTTGAGACATGAAGAAACATTGCGCTTCATGTACAGAAAATGTACATACCTCTGTAGAGCCAGTGAATGCAATTTTATCTATGTCAGGGTGAGAAGTTATCACTGCGCCTGCAGTTGGCCCATATCCTGGCAAAATATTCACAACTCCTGGTGGAAACCCAGCCTAGTAAAATAAAATTGAAAGGGAAAATGGTGTGTCAAAACTATCTGCATACATTTAATTTAAAGCTCTTAAGTTTAGCACTTGCAAAAGTAAATTATTCTAACTGCTGCTTTTTATTTCTTTACCTCTTTGATGAGCGCTCCCATGTAAAGTGCAGTGAGTGGTGTTTGTTCAGCTGGTTTAATCACCACAGTATTCCCACAGCAGAGAGCTGGTGCCACCTTCCATGCAAACATCAATAGGGGAAAGTTCCACTGCAAAACAACATCAACAATGTGCTTGATTTATGAAATTAATACAGGTTGTCAGCCTATCAAAGTAAATGTTCACTTTAAAAAATGAAGAGTGAATAAGGTGAAACTTGACTATGAATACCCAATTGGGTGCAATCAGAAAAAAACATGTTTTTCTAACTCATGTCTTGATATTCAATTTCTTTTTGTATTGGACAGGGCATGATTAAAACATCTGTCAGGTTTTTTTTGTTGCTCTCTGTGTCCCATTGGGGAGATTTCCCTTCACTTGTCTCACACACAACACGACACATCGGGAAATTAGATGAAATCTCTACAAAGTGTACAAAGTGAGGGGAAATCACTCCTTTACAATTATCACTGATGTTATAAGGTCTCCTCTCTATAGAACAATTTCATTTTTCCCAATAGTCACTAAGGACTAATAGGGTAGGTGAATCTGACAAAGGTTTTAACCCTACCCTACGATGTCCAAAACTACAACAAAAAAATTGTCCTAAAACACACTTTAACAGAACTGGGCCTTCAGAATGCCTTGAAGTATACTACAACATTGAAAGTGTCTTAAATACAAACAATAGGCTAAGCTTAATGCAAGGCTTTCCTGCCTGACTGGTATCAACTGCCCCTACATTTTTGCAAACGTTTGCTGCTTCAAAGATTTGTTAGAAAACAAACTCATAGCTTCATTTCACCAAGCACCTAATTTACTTGTAACACAAATGTTTATATATCAGATATTAAACAATTTCTGTATGAAAAAATCCCATTAAAACAGAAAAAATGACCTAAAAGTCATGATGCGGGCAGCTTCCATTTAAAAGATTTTAGGTGCCAGATCTCCAAGTAAGCATTAGGCAAAGGCCAAGCTCTTTGTAAAACACTACTGCTGACTTTAGGGAAAATGAGTGACTACATTAAAGAATTTGGAAAATGTGTTGTTGAAATAGCTATTTATAACATTGGTGGAAAAAGATGGAGATACCACCCTTGTTTCAAAGACATGTTCATCAAGATTTTAAACTACTTTTATTGTTTTTTTAATAACTTACATAAAACTGTTAATTTGCAGTATTGTACTTATAAAGGAAGCTCTGAAAACACCAATTTAGATACAGAAACACGGTACATTCATGCCTTGACAATAACTATAGATGCTTTAGTGGGTATAGGTTCCCTTCACATCTTTAAAGTGGTTGTAAAGGTTTAAGGATTTTTACCTTCATGCATAGAATGATGCACAGAAAACCCTTCTGTGTGCAGCTCCCCCCAGCCCCCTTATACTTATCTGAGCCTCATTGTGATCCAGCAATGTGCATGAGAGCCTCCGCTCTCCGGAGACTCTTCTTCCTCATTGGGTGAGACAGCCGGTGAGCCAATAAGGAAGGAGGGGTGGGGGGTGCAGAGGGGCTGAGCTGTGGCTCTGTGTGTGAATGGACTTGCAGAGCAGGTAAGTATGATGATTATGTGCATAGAATGATGCACAGAAAAACCTTCGGTGTGCAGCCCCCCCCCAGCCCCCCCTTAAACTTACCTGACCCCATCACAATCCAGTAAAGTGCATGAGAGCCTTGGCTCTCCGGGGACTCTCCCTCCTCATAGGTGGAAACAGCCGGTGAGGGGCAGGACGGAGAGGGGCCGAGCTGTGGCTTTGTGTGTGAATGGACATGCAGAGTAGGTAAGTATGACATGTTTTTTTTTTAAACAAAAAAACTTGCCTTTAATATCACTTTAAATCATAAGGTGTAGGCTAATAAACAAAAACCAGTAAAAAGAAAATCAGTGACTAGTTTAACATCCAACCCTATCAGGCTTTTACTGATATCCAGGGCTTCCTCAGAGAAGCCTCCCCTCACATCCTGTCCTAGTGACTATGGTTTAACCAGACAGGAAGTGAGGGGAAATCTGCAGTAGGGATACAGATAGCAATAAAAGATCAGTACTCTATATCAAAATGGTTCGTACTAGGCCAATTGGAGAAATGGCAACAGATTAATGAACATTAATGTCCAAAAGTTTAAAATTTACCACATTATGTGCATACCTTTAGGTTATGCCAATTATGGTTTTTAAATCCACACATCAGAAATATATTTGTGTAGATAAACCCAAGAACAAAAAAAAAATATTTAAATTACAGCTCACTAGTTTTTAGATGTGATGACTGCTTTTCTTTTTTATGTGCTAAAAACACTAAGTTCTTTATGTATCAACATGTTCTGAACTGGCATAACATCTTGGCCACTAGTCAACATCAGACCTCCTCTAAAAGTCTTTATGTGGCTGCAGAAATAACTCTCTAATAACTTTTACTAACAACATGCTGATATACAGTATAAGGTCCTGAATTCAGAGAGATGAAAGCAAATAACAGTTCTAAAAGTTTAAAAACTTTTTTTAACATATATATATATGTATAAAATGCAGAATCTTTTGAAGACCCCTTGTGTGTGTGTGTGTATATATATATATATATATATATAATTTTTATTTAATTATTTTATTTTTTTAATTGCCTTTTTGGATTTTAATTTTCGTATAGATAAATTAAATTTTTCCTAACAAAATCAGCCATGTCTCTCAAATGGTCATGTGGGTGAGACAAGACAGAATGGAAGAGGATCAGAGCTTCGGTTGTGTAAGTCACCCTCTTGTTTGACTGCTGACCTCCATCATTGTGTTATTAGTCATAGCTGGATTAAATCTGAAGAGTAAAATAAAAGGCTTGGTGTCTTTAGTTAGGAATGCAGGTTGGTAATGTTATTTCTGTCCACCTTTGTAAATGAGTATGAACTTTAGAAAATCTACTGTGGTATCATAACAAATGTCATGGAGGAAAGATAATATGCCCAGGAAACGACGGGATAGGGAAAATGTTTACCATAAAAGCCAGCGTTCAGACTTGCTTTAATATTGCAGCAATACAGCATGCTTGCCACAAGAATTTTCCATGGGTGTGTTAAAGGGAAAATTGTATTGGATATTAAATGTTCCACTGGCACAATGGCACAGTAATTCATATATATTAGAACATAGACTGTTTTTGATTATGGACCTTAAGTTAATTGGACAGTCTAATCTCTCGGGCTAATGTCTATAATAAAGAGGGAGGGGAAGAACTGATCATATATGCATTTACGCCATCAATATTAAAAGACTGTTTCTTACAAAAGGAACATCTCTGTTTCTCTGTATACTTATGTTTTAAAACATGCCCACAAGCTGTAGCCAATTTTAGACAGGAATCAATTTATCTACTATTATGTCTTTGGAGTATGGGTGGAAACCTACCAGCACAAGGAGAACATGCAAACACCATGCAAACAGTGCCCTAACCAAGATATAGACTGGGGGCCTCAGTACTGTAAGATAGCAGTGCTAATCACAAAGTCACTGTGATCAGTGAGATCTAATGAGGAATCCCCACTTAAGTACTGACAAAAGAGCACTGCCCATTATTGCTCTGTACATAGCATAAAATTACACAGTCTCTATAATACAAACAAGTGTTTCTCAACCTTTCAGTAAAGGCACCCTTTAAAATTATGGACAGTCCCAAGGCACCCTTCAAAATTATGGACTGTCCACAATTTTAAAAGCGCACCCCATTCTAAAATGTTAAAAACTATTCTAATAGTTTTATATAATGCAGCGACATCCACACATGTAGGACACCCAACATCAGAGGTGATTTATTCTTCCAAAGAAAATACACTTTCTCTTCTCCCTCCTTCTCCATCACTCAGCTAATGTGACCCCAGCACTGGCGGAGAGGGGTCGGGGAGGGTCAAACTAGGATGCTGTGCAAGCAACCAACATACTCCTTATCAAATGATGATGTCATTGGTTGTTAGGATGCTGGCGGCTAGAAGGTCGTAATGGTGCACAATGAAAACTGTGCCTTGTGTAACTAAAAGGTAGGATTGTTCCACTCACTGGCTTGTATTCAAGTATTGGACAACTTTTATACATTTTGCCAAGGCACCCCTGAAGAAACCTCAAGGAACCCCAGGGTGCCTGGGCACCCTGGTTGAGAAAGGCTGATATAAACAACAATGAAACAGCATGTGTACATTCAGTAAGTTTAATATGGCACTGCTGTGCACAGGTATGGGATATGTTGCAATAAAGCGCTGTGCAAACTGTTGGCGCTATAAAAATCCTGTATAATAATAATATGCTATGATGCTATAGTGGCAAGTATTTCTAGTTTTATCCTTGCATTTTATAAAAATTAAATCATAAAAGATAAGTCTTTGGAAAAAATTGCATACAGGGGTGCAGAGGTTCACATACACACACATGCACACGCATACACACATACAAGCACACAGTTCCAAGATCTGTTTATTTCACCAAATACAGTCAATGTATTATGTATTTATTTTCATTTTATTCCTTGAGCCATAAGAATCCCAGTGCTTGGGAACAGCTCTCCAAGTTGCAGATTTAAATCCCCATTAACCTGTTTAAATAAGCAGCTGTAGGGAGGCTGATAAAAAATATGCCAATAGAAGCTGAGGATTTTTATTCCTCTCCTCTTGCTTAACAGAAATGCACAGCTGCAAAGCCCCATGTTGTGTGCAACTGCAGAGAAAGTCACTCAATGAAAATAAAACACTCTGATACTCACTGGGATGATCTGTCCACATACTCCGATAGGTTCATGTCTTGTAAATGTAAAATAATCTCCATCTAAAAACATGTTGTTACGGTTAGTGAAATGTATATCAGAAAACATTGAGTAGGCAATTTAATGTACATCAAACATAAAATAGGAAAAACTAAACAAGCTTATGTTTTATACAGCGAGTTAAGGAAAATGAGGAGGTTAGGCACTGCTAATTTAAATCTGCGTTGGAGATTGAGAGGCAATATTGTAATTCCACAAGTGGGCACAAGGACCATCAAATGAGGGTTATCATTAAGAAGATAGATAAAAGGTCACAAAAACGTACACACAAGTTGATTTATGGAAGCTTAACTAGTTCGAATTTATACTTAAAGTGATTGTAAGCCAATATTTTTTTAAAATAACAAACATGTCATACCTACTTTGCTTAATGGTTTTGCACATTGCTCTGATCTTTCTCTCTTCGGGTCCCCTGTTGGTGCTGCAGGCCCCCCTCCCTACTGAGTGCCCCCATAGCAAACTGCTTGGTATGGGGACATTTGTGCAGGCTTGCACCCGAGCCACACTCTGTGTGTCCATTGACACAGAGCGCATCTCGGCCCACCCCCACTCCCATCACACCCAGTGGTTCCTGCTGCTGTCTCTGGAGAGGCAGAGAGAGAGATAGTGAAGAGAACTGCTGCTCTCGTGCACAGTGCACACAACATGGAAATGCAATTATTTTAGTAAATATAAACTGCTAAATACCTTTTTCTCATCAGCAGTTAGAGCAGTCTTGTGACTTCAGCAGAGCACAAGTTAAAGCTTGTAGGAGGAGTTTTCTTTCTGCTCTAGGAGGATGTGAAACCTCTGACCCTCTATCTGGACAGTGCTAATTGGCTCTGTGCTGATCACATGCACCCTCCCAAGAAAAAAATAAAAACCTTTCTAGCAATACACACCAAACTGAGCATGTGCATGTGACCACGAGTTCAGTCTTTATCAGGTGGTCATTTCAATAAGAGGAAGGGCAGAGAAGAAAGGATCAAACAGCCTTTTTACATAATGCAGATGATTAACCCCTTAGGTTCAACAGTGAGTATATAACCAGCATGCGTTACTGCATATATAGACTGATTTTACTGTTGTGGGTTTAGTCACACTTTAAGGTAAAAAAAACTTCAGCCTTCAAAACCACTTTAAAAATCACAATTCCAGTGTTCCATCTGGTATTGAGCCACTCTGCCTGTCAAATTACAGAACTCAAATATCCACTAATAGGAATATACATATTTGCTTCTCTTTGTGTTCGTAGGAGGTTTATAATACAGCAAATATTCAGACAAAGGGGTACAGAGTACCATCTAAAGGGCTGGGAGCAATTGGTGGTTCCAATGTGTGGAAATAATCCTCTCTTCCATCAAAATGTATCTTTCACACTCCTAATAAAATGCAAACGCCTATTGGCACCTGTGTTTGTCTTAAAATCAGACTTTTGAGCCTGGGGAGGCCACCAGATCCAAGGCCAAGGCTGTACATAGGTTCTCCATCTTTCCATTTTAAGTTTAAAGCTGGCCATACGCTAGAAGAGTTTCATTAGGAATGATGGAAAATCTTTCCTGAATGAACAAATTTCTAACATTGTACATAGTTTTAATTTGGGAAAGTCCATTCGCTTGAAAACCAAATGTCAAAAGCAACCGAAATGTTGAAGTACTTTCAGATGCCATTCATCAAAGTCAATGAATATACTGAGAATTATGATACAAATTTGAACCCACATCTACTAGTGTATAGCCAGCTTAGGCTCCACACTCTAATGGTCTGCAGCTCCGCCATTGGCAATAATTAAATGCCTGAGCTTCTCTGTCTAGTGCAAGCCTATTGTTCCTATAAGCACATTTAATGGTTTTCCCCAAAATAATATATAATAGTTCATGGGGACTTCAAGTGGATTCTATCATTCACTTATGTTTCTGGTAAGTTCCCCTTGTTTCTTTATGTTATCAAATTATGATAAATACGTCATTGGAACTGAAGTGAATGTTAATGTAGTGTTTCTCAACCTTTTTTCAGTCAAGGCACCCTTTGGACTTATACACAATCTCGAGGCATCCCATTCTAAAATGTAAAAAACTAATCTAATAGTTTTTCATAAACGTGCACACACAGAGGACACTCATTGTTAAAGGTGATTTATTCTTCCAAAGCGAATACACCTTTGCACCAGGGGCAGACTGACCATTTGGAAACTCGGGCACTGCCCAAGGGCCCGGGGTCAGTAGGGGGCCCCATGAGATGCCCCTGGTACCTTTTTTATAGTTTTTTTTGAGTTTGGGCAAGGACACAGGTGCCCCATGATCCCCTATTGCTCGGGGGCCCCATGAGTTGTCAGTCCGCCCATGCTTTGCACACTGTTACTGACTGGTATTTCAATGTTTCTTTTCTTCCTTGGTTTCTCTCCCTCACTCAGCTAATGTGACCCCCCAGAGTTGATTAGAGGGGCAGGGAAGGGGTGAAAAAAGAATGCTGTGAAGGTACCTGTCGTGCTTATCAACCGATCACGTCATTGGTTGTTAGAATGCCTGCAGCTGGAAGGTGGTAAAGGTGCACAATAAAAACCTGTGACTTTGCATAGCTAAAAGGCAGGCTTCATCCACCAGCTGGCTTGTACACAGTTTTGGCCAATTTTTAGGGCATCTTGCTAAGGCACCCTTGAAGAAACCTGAAGGCAGCCCAGGGTGTCTAGGCACTCTGGTTGAAAAAGGCTGTGCTTTCAAGACATACAAGCGTACAGGGGCGGACTGACCATTTGGAAACTCGGGCACTGTTCGAGGGCCCGGGGTCAGTAGGGGGCCCCCTGAGATGCCCCTGGTACCTTTTTCATAGGCTTTTTTGAGTTTGGGCAAGGACACAGGGGCCCCATGATCCCCTATTGCCCGGGGGCCCCATGAGTTGTCAGTCCGCCCCTGCAAGCGTATTAAATAAGAGTGAAAAAAGATCATTGACAAACTACAAACTCTAATAGTCCAAATCAACCAAATTTCACATGAAATGAAAGATTCATGTTGGTTGGCTGCTATACTATAATTTGCCTATTGTCATGTTTCCTTATACAGTCTTATCGCATAAGCCCATAAGTTCTTTTGAATTAGGCTACTAAGCTTGCCAATCTAAGCTGCTGGCAAGTCAGTGTCTTCAAATTTAATTTTAGTGACAATAAACAAATATGTCTGAAAAAAAAATTCTTCTGTTATGAGCACACGTAAAAATGTATATATTTGTTGCCAGTAGTGCCTCCACCCTCCCATATCATTTTCCTCCGAGTTCTTGACATATTTCATATAACACTAACAGCAGGTGGTGGGTGGAGGAGAAAAATATTTATCCTGTGCAATGATTGCAAGATATTCTTCAATAGTGACATTATTTGGCACCACATTTTACAGATCATGGTAATCGTAAATAATGATGCCACTGGAGCACTTCCCTGTTGGGAACACATCTTCAGAACTCTGCATCTGTTTCTCTTCATGTGTATAATCAATATATACATTTCATATAATAGAGACAATATATATTAGAGAACTTTAAAATTACCCTGTAGCAAACATGGACAGCATAAAGAGCAGTACAAATCTCATAAACAATGATCAGTGAATCCAGAGATAAAGGCTGCAGATGTAAAAGCTAGAATATTACATGCCAAAGTTAAACTTGCTCTCCTCTTCTACCTCCAAGACCTTCCTTCAATATGGTAAAAGGCTTCAAACACCAATAGGGAGACATGGGAAGAGGGGGAAACCAATTTTAGGTTTTACAGAAAAATCCAAGATTTGAGTAAAAGTGTTGCTGCCTATATCTATGGATCTACTGAACATTTTGACATGATGTTCTAACTGAAAGGAACCTTTGATTATACATTGTTTTATCATATGCTCACTATAAATATCCCAGGTTTGTGTCATGTTAATTTTAAAGGAGAATATGTATAGAACACTTAGAATATGTAGCACCAATTGTTGTTTCTATTGAGGCTGTCTGGATTATTGTCATAATGGGGGTTATTTACTAAAACTTGAGAGTGCAAAATCCAGTGCAGCTGTGCATAGACACCAATCACCTTCCAGGTTTTATTATTAATGCTTAATTGAACAAGCTGGAATTAGAAGCTGATTGGCTACCATGCATAGCTGCACAATATTCTGAGTGCACCAGTTTTAGTAAATCTCCCCCTATGTAACACTAAACTCAGGTTACAACAGACAAAGAACTAGGAATATTATAGGGCACAAACCAAAGAACATAAATTCAACACATAAACATAAAATAATATTTCCAGATTTATTAATGACATCATATAAAAGTTTAAATGAATCAAATATGATGCACAATACAATATTCTTTTTTGACACACTACAAAAACCACTTATATATTCGTATTATACAGAGTGTCCCATTTCACAGGCAACAGGTTGCAGTCAAACATTTTGCAGATTGCTGTACTTCATCAGGCTCCGCAGTGAATGGGATACAAGACATCCATCCAATTCCATTGATCTCAGTGTAATGGTCATAATTGTTTTGTGGCATCAAAATTCTTCTAAAAATCTAAGGCTACACTTATTTCTACAGGAAAAAAAGCGACTGGGTTACTTCTACATGGTACTTTAGCAGGAATCTCCAAACTTTGTAAACAAACAGCCAGTTTACTGCTCTTCAGATTTTAGAAGAGCTGGACTGTGTGGCCAGTGAGAGCAGAAAATTCCCAGCATCAGTAGAATTAGAAACTATCTCAGACTTGATGGTCAGCATGATTTAAAAAATTACATAAAGGGGCCCTCAAATCCCTCTTGTATTGAACTGTATTGTTGCTGTATTGTCTCCCTTTATATTGTAAAGCGCTGAGCAAACTGTTGGCGCTATATAAATCCTATATAATATTAATAACATAGCACCTATGGTCAGTAGGAGGAAGAACAGAGCCCCAACATTGGTATTATTTGAAAGAATAGTGCTTCTTGTTGGTGTCAATAGTAGGGAAAATGCCCCATTGTTAGTGTCAGTGGGAGAAAGAGCTCTTCAAAGTTGGATAGCAGTGGAAGGAATGGTACCTTGTATCAATGGGAGTAATAGTGCCTCATATCAGTGGTAGGAACAGTGCCCCAAAGATAAAAGCAAGCAAAGGACCATATCTGGCCATCAGACCATAGTTTGGAGACCACTGAACTAAAGCATAGAGAGGTCCAGAACATAAAGTTGTGCTGTCACAAGATGGTAGTGCTGGAGAGACCTCCTCCATTCCCAATCCACAGAATAGAAATAGATGAAGTGAAGCTATCTGCAAAATGTGTTGGCTGCAACCTGTTACCTGTGAAATGTGACACTCAGTATAATGCAAATATATAAGTAGTCTTTATAACATGAAAAAAAGGATACTGTATTGTGCACTATCAATGATTCTTTTAAACTTTTATATGATGTGTTTCTATTCAAGTCTTTTATGTTTCTGAGTGCCATCCTTAAAAGTTCATAGTTCTTTGTCTGCTGTGGATTTTTTCAGTTTAAGGTTTTAGCCCAGTGTCACCCTGCTTCTCTTCCTTATTTTTTCAAACCATTAAATTCACTCTGGGTGACACCATTAAAAATAATTATGTTCAGTACCTGGGCATTGTTTAGTACTGTCCAGAGTTCCTGAACATTCTGCTATATACGTAGAAGGCATTGGTTTTCCAATACTTATTGGCAGCAGAAACTTAAAAGCTAAATGTGATTTGTACATTTTTTATGTCTTATCTACGGCACAGATCTTACATTACATTTTCAAGATTCACTTTATTTTTTTATCTTCCTTTCCTGTTTTTGCCATAACTGAAAATTAAGTATGTATGCATTGTGATTTTATCACCGAAACAACTGTCTAAACCAGTTTATTTGTCTCAGTGACTTTTGAGTGAATGTTTCACTTTACTCTTTGAAGCACATTATTTTCGTCATGCACAAAAGAGAACGGAGAACAGTGGTTAAATAAGTGAACTGTCCTAGCATCAAATCTTAATTTCGTGGCGCCAGTGGCTACAGCAAATTAAAATGTTTCCTCTGTGCATTGAAATTGGAACCAGAGTTGTTTTATTCTTTACCATTAAATAATAAATAAATTCAGTTTGAGAGACAATGTTTTTTGTGTTTTAAAGAAGTACCAGCTTTGAAACTGGTAGAGGGAGACAGAAGTTGTTTCAAGCGAAATCCTTTAGATAAGGGTTGTGTTGCACTAGTGATTTGGCTGCAAAGGCAGGATCACTAGATTGCAAGTACCACTTTGTTTAAAGAACATGTGGGTTGGGCTGGGTTGGACAGTAAGGAGGCAAAGTCACAGGAGGTAAGTTGAGTTATTATGATCATGTTGCTGGTGACACCAGTCCATCAAATGCCTAAGAGTTTGCTCCTGTTCACACATGAGAATTTTGATGCATAATTCCCAGAACGTGACAATGCTCAATACAAAGTATCCCAATAATTTCAATGGGCCTGTTCAGACATGAACTTTGTGTTGCTTGGTACCTGTCGCATGAAGCTCAAAAAAGGAAGTGAGCTTCTTGGGGAAGATTTGCACATTTTTTTACACCATTGACTCTAATGGGACGGCCTTAAAAATACTTGAAAATGCATCTTTCAAGTACTACTATTCTATGGGGCCAAAAACACATGACTCTGTCCCGTGCTACAAGTTTCCTGTAAATCATCTGGCTACATTCACACAAGGGAGTTGATTTACTAAAGACAAATAGACTGTGCACTCTGCAAGGGCATTTGCTCCAGAGCTTAGTAAATGAGGGGAAGCTCTGCTGACTTTGACCATACAATACAAGCAAAAATACAGTTTTTTTTCCTTGCATCTGATTGGGTATTCTTTCCGATGTAAAGCTTCACCTCATTTACTTAGCTCTGGAGCAAATGCCCTTGTATGGTCTATTTGCGTTTAGTAAATCAACCCCTAAGTGTTAATGGGTGCTTAGTAGTCCTCTTTGCAATTCAGTTGGATGGTTTTCTTGTTTAAAATAGGAAATTATTTTACGTGAAAATCCTTGTTAGTTGAGAAAAAGAGGAGTGCTACAACAATAAAAATCCACACTGTGAAAATCAGCGTCTGTGAATCATTCCATTTTAAGGGGGCACCAATTATGCATTATACTTTCAACTGGGTGCGTCCAATGTTTGCCCAGCTGGTGATTACACAGTTATTAAGAGGACAGTATGGTAACATTTTGAACTTGACAGTTCTCCTGATTAGAAAGGTAAAATTGGCTACAGATGCCCAGAGAGGAGTTTGTTTTGTCGTTCTCTGAACAAAAACTAATGTATTTTGTGATTGGCTGAACTTCATGAACATGTGTCTTTATTCAATCTAACTGTATTTAGCTATGACTTTTAAGTGGCAGACAAATGTATTTATTTATTACAGGTACTTATATAGTGCCATCAATTTACGCAGCGCTTTACATATATATTGTACATTCACATCAGTCCCTAACCCTCAAGGGGTGTACAATCTAAAGTCCCAAACTCACATTCATACATACACATACTAGGGCCAATTTAGACAGGAGCTAATTAACCTACAAGCATGTCTTTGGAATGTGGGAGGAAACCAGAGTACCTGGAGGGAAAACCACGCAGGCACAGGGAGAACATGCAAACTTCAGGCAGGTGGTGACATGGTATGGGATTCGAACCAAATGAGTACCATTCAAAAAATCCAAGCATTCCATAAAACAAAATATATCTATTTTTGCGTACTGAGGTGTGGTACGGTGTTACCTACCTGCTGGGATAGTCATGCCATGTATCTTGTCAGCCCATCCGGCATAATAGCGGAGAGTTTTAATCACACCTTGTAGATCCACATAAAATGACTGCAGAAAAGGCTTGCCGCTATTAAGGGATTCGAGTGTCTGAAAGGTAAATTAAAATGTCAGGGCCTCTAGTTTATAACAAACTTCTGATCAATGCAGAATAAACCCAGAATTTACGAGTCTGTATTTCCTAAACTGATAAAATCAATTAAAAACAAATCAGCCTGCTTACTAGAAATGTGTGCTGAATAAAGTATAAAATCCTGACATTATTACGCTAATAGCTAGAATCAAACAGTAACAACTGACACCTTGTTTCTAGAGACTTTACTCCTGTAGTTATATTTTCCGCTTTAAATTTAACTGGTCTGTAAAAGTTACAGTAGCAAGCAGTCTAGTGATCGAATATTGGCTGCCATAAAAGGAATTTAACTTGCTTTTTAACTGTGGATAAAAATGGGGTTGATTTATAAAAGCAAATAGGTTGTTCAGTTTGCAAATGAAGGTGCACTTCACAAAGGGAATTTGCCCCAGAGCTCAGCGAATATGGTGAAATTTCACTTTGCAACCATGTTCAAGGAAAACAAAAAACATTATTTTTTGTGTGCACATGATTGGATGACATAAATCATCAGAGCTATATCTCCTTCTTTAAGTTCTTTAAGAAAAGAGTGAACAGACTATTTGCCTTTACTAAATCAACCTTAATGTCACTCCATCAAGCTCACTAAATCAGTCAGCCCAAACAGCAATGATAATATGTAAAGTGCTATAAATCATAGCAACTAAAAATAATTTCACAGAGATGACCTTACAAAAATCAGATTTGGTTTACTATAGTTACTGCATTTCTGCATTACGGCGTTTCTTTCCACTGTATTACTGAATTAGATAGTACGGCTGCCTTTGTGATGAGACGCATTATACTTGACAGTTATCGTATATTACATTTACACATTGCTGCAAGAGTACAAGTTGGAATATGGAAGATGTATGCCTCCTGGAGGTCTATGAATTATGCGTGTTCGGTCTGTAAAAGTGATATTGCATTATTATTATTAGATTATTGTTTAATAATCTCACCAAGTTTCGTGCAGAAAAAGTTATCCAGACATAGTATCTTTGCCAGTCATGCTTGACATGCTTTACTGAACATTTACAGCAGAGAGCAACATCTGCAAGTTATTATGGGCACCAAGTACTTTTGTAGAACATGAAAGATTTAAAAAGTGAATGAAGATCCGGCAATGGCAAGCAGTAACTGTTACATGTATGCTATAGCTTATGTTGCCTACAGCATAACCGGCTCTGGGCATTCTAAAAACCTTGAAGTAATGCCTTATATGTTATGTGATATAGTATACATATAATAAAACATGAATGCAAAAGAATGGTGTATGTCAACACCGCTCAGCGAGGCAGATTTATGAATCTCGAGTAAAACCTGTAACACTAATGGAGGAGTTGTCCCTTCAGGGAAAACAAAGTAAAAAACCCAAATGGTTTGTATAGGGTAGAGCTGCCATTTATTTAGCTCCACAAATCTTGCTTTTCTTAATCAGCACTTCTATTGCTTTTCATAATCTGCACTTTTTAATGTGAATTTGTCTGAACTTAAAAGTACCTTGAGGTGCCTTCGAGTAGAGTTGGCCAGCATAATAACAAATTTGGTTCATCTTAGTGAGGGTGAAAAGTGTTCTAAAGTTCTACTTACTAGGTGGACAGTGGGCTTCCCCAGGGAGGGAGCTTGTGCTCTCATTGGTCCTTTGGACACATTTTCCAGTGTTCTGAGCAAATCAGGTCCACTTGTAAACCTAACCTTTCTGGGTTTGTAACCAGCCAGGTTTGGGAAGATCTTTAGTTGAATCCAACTTCCACATGTACATTGGGGTTTGCTGCAACCACATATGCTTTAATTGTGCTTTGCAAGGTGTATTGGGGTTCCATTCAGGTAGTACTGCAACAGACCACGGTAAAGCAAAACTGGGAAGCAATCCTAAACCTAGTTAAGCTCCAAATTAAAGTTTCACTTGAATTATTGGGTTTGTAGTTAGCTTGGTGCCTACATTGATTTATTACAATCCTGCTTACCACTGTAACATGAAACTGACCTCACGCCACTATTTTTAATCAATGTCATATTTCTTCTTCTCTTAAATGTCATTTGAACCACAAATGACTGCATTCAATATATCCAAACACTGTGCAAAAATTGTCTCCAACTAGTATCATTATTCCTTTTATATGATTATATGCAATGATTATTTACTTACAGCAAGGATTGCTCTCTCTCTTTCTACCAGATCAGCTAGTTTATCCAAAAGTCGCCCCCTCTCAGATGCATCCATTCTCCGCCATACAGAGCTTAGAGAAAACGCTAAACGTGCGGCCCTTACTGCTTTATCCACATCAGCCTTTTAAAAGATGAAAAAATTATTACAGTTGACTTGAAAAAATGGACCACATTAAGAAAGTAGAATTTATAAATACATAATCTATTAGACTACAGGGATGGATATAATTATATGCTATCTACTGATTTAGCAACTTATTGTTATCTCCGTATTTGCAGCATGTTTATTTTAGCATGTTACAGATGAGAGGATTGCCAATAAAATAAAAATTATCCAATGACCTAGAAACAAAATTCTTCCTGCAATTTAGTCCTTAAAGAAAGGACATAATATTGTAGCTGCCATTCCTGTACTTTTCCTGCATGCTCTAGTGCTGACATTCCAAAATATTGTTTTACTACTTAGAGTGTGACTGACCTGGAACAAGCATGATGGTCAGGTGTCCTGATACTTCTCTAGCTACATGCTTGTTCCAGGTCAGTGAGGAAGTAAGGATGGCAGTCCTTGATCTACACCAGTTAAAACAAGCCAGTGACTGGAGCTCCGATATTTCCAATGTGATGGGTTCCCCTTTAAGAGTTATGGTCTGAAATACAAGTGCAGTTTTTAACAGAATTATCGCTAATATTTTAAGCAAACAGAATGGATGATTTTATGTAGTTACCTTTTCAGCTTCTTGGACCTCACAGATCTGCTCCCCGGTGGATGGATTATAGACCGGGAACACTTTGCCACTCTCAGAGCTCTGCCACTCATTGTTTATAAAAATCTGAGAGAAGTGGGAGAAAAAAAAATCAGTTCAAACACCCATATCTATCACATAATATATCTATGTCACAAATGTTCCCTCACTCATTTTCCATATTTATGCAAGAAAAATACAGATGATCTGTTGGGCAGATTGACCTCATTTTAGTAAGAATATAATACATTTCTATGTATTTCTCTAGTTACATATATTAAATTGTCAACATTCCTGCCAAATGGACATTCTACTAACAGGAGAGCTTATATACTCAGTCAAACACTGGCAGTACACAGTATACTTTTCAGTTTCATTTTGTGCTATTATGATACCAGAAAACATGGAGCAGGTGGTTAAGTGGAAAATGCACTCTGCACATGCATGACTACCCCCAGCAGCACATACCTACCTTTGCTCTCTTTAAGCTGGCCATAGACTAATCACATTTTTGGCAGATTCCCACTGAATTGGTTGAATTTCATTCCATGGGTGGCCCTGTTGGCACCACCCGACTCATCACAAATCTATTTTTAATTGGCCTTGTCAAAGAAACCAACCAGAAAATTGTTGGCTGAAGTGTGCATCCAAATCAGGCATTGTTCGGCTGGTGCCGGCTGTCAGTATACAGTAGCCAGCACTACAGATTTGTCCATCAATGCCATTTATCACGGATGGGGGAACTGAGTGAATTGTGTATGGCTAAGTTTTCACTCCATTCAGCTGCCTGAAGTTTAAACATTTAGCCTGAGCTTTTCTTCCAGCCCCATGCATCCCTAAACCTTGCAGTGCCAGCCATTTCTTTCTCTCACAGTAGCCAAACAGAACAATGGGCAAATGAAGGAAATGGCAAATATGCCAAGCCAGGGGCTGGGGGAGGGGGGTGTAAAGGAACCTGTTACTTCACTCTGTATAGGAAAAGCAAAGTTTCACTTTAAAATGTTAATATAGCATTCCTGTGTTAAGGTATAGTTCATATCTAACCATATGTGAAATGTATAGGCCTGCTTCACTTGACCATCTATATACAGCAGATTTATTTCAGCTGTCAACAAAAAGTTTATAAATGTACTGCCAGCTAAATTTAAACGAAGACTCCCATATTTATTTAAAAGAAGTACAGTAAATAGATAGCTAGCCAATTTTGTAATTTAATGCTATTGAAGTCTGCAACCAGCCATGATTCTGAAACCAAACAAAACTGAAGTTTCTCTTACATGACAACAGTGCATAGATTGTAGACAGATTGGCCATAATTTTCACTTTTTTGTACTTAGTATGCCGTTTTACCATATGTCTGCACGGAACGTAAAGGCAAGCCATGGCCAATGTCCTTTTGGTTTACTGAAATTCCTGAAAAGACTCCTGCCCTTCTACATGGATGCTGGGGTGCATTGGAGCCAAGCAGACACTTCCACTAACTACTGATCAGGGTTGCCAACCATCAGTAATTTTACGGACAGTTTATAATCAGTGATTTTTACAACTGTCTGTAAATATCAGAGGCTGATCATTTGTCACATTGTATTGATTTTACTAAGTGTAAACCAGTCAAATTACTTGTTATGGGTTTTGTCAGTTTTTCCATATTATTATTATACAGGATTTATATAGCGCCAACACTTTGCACAGCGCTTTACAAAATGAAGGCAGACATTACAGTTAAAATACAATTTAGTACAAATTGATGAAACAGAGGGCACTGCTCGTTAGAGCTTACAATCTAGGAGATATTGTGTTTATACTGTTTAAATATTGATTGTCTTAGTTTTTAATGTAATTTTTCAGGTTGTTAAAAAAAAAAAAAAGTGCTCTGTCAGTAAACATTCCATGTTTTGTAAGTAAAAAATGTTGAGGTTGGCAACACTGCTACAGATTTTAAAAAAAGTGCACTGGCCTGGCTATCACAATATATTAAGGACAAAAACAGGTAAGAGCTTGCAAATCAGTGTGGAAAAAATGGATTTTCAGTTTAATAAGGTACATGTAACAAATCAACAAGCAGCTTTCAGCAGCCTGACAATACATGTGAAATCTTCTGTTTTATTAAAAATAAAAAATATTATGTGCACATTAAAAATACACATTGCCTAAGCAACATAATGTGCAAAAAGCAGTAAAGTATATCAATGCATCGGAAAAATATATCTTAATTGATTTGACTACAGCAAACTTATATCTGATTGGTTGCTGTGGGTTTCTGCATTTTGTACATCATGCATGTTCTTTGTTCTACCCTAAAGTGACTCTAAATTATATCCTTATTCTCCAAAAACAATCCATACACATCCACTATGTAATGGCCTTGCAATCTACTTTTCAGAAATTGCTTGCTGTGTTTTTTCTGCCTCCTTGTAATGTCCTCCTTGAGCTCACAATCCTTTTTTCTACCTTCTCACTTCCATCTGTTTGGTCCAAGCAGTGCTCACTAGCTGTGGCCATGTGTACACCCCTATGTACATTAAACAACCCATGGTATATTGTCTATCTCAGAAGCGACCAAGAGAGGGTGGCTACATTTGTACATACAGTGAAACTGTGGAGAACAAATGTAGCACCCTCTAACAGGCAGTTGGATTGCAGCAGCACAAAAAAAGGAATTTGGTGATTTGGAGGAGGCTAAGAGCAATAAAAGGGACATTTTGAGTTAAAAATGCACACTTGATTAGCTTTTACTTTAAAACTAGAATGTATTGTCACTTCAATGGTAAACTTAAAATGTGTGCGGTTGCTTGTTTGTCTATACTATGGAAAGGAGCTTGGAAAATCCATTGGGACAGGTACACATGTGAATGGTCAGTTTCTACTCTGTGAAATGCTCCTGTATAAAATGTTGTCACTATATAATAATATAAACTGTACATGAACTGATCTCCTTTAAGCTATGTTGTATGAAGATAAAACCATCTTTTAAGACAAGATGCTGCTGTTCAGCTTTCCTTTTGACTCAAAGCAAAACACGTTATTGCCATTACTTTCTTATTAACACAAGCTGATCACATTTAAATTGGCTGTAAAAGTCCTACCATTTACTCCAGTGTGTGTAAAGTACCTCATCTAGCATCCTGGAACAGTTTCAAGTCTTGAAAAGCACCAGCTGTCGGATTTACTAGCAAAACCTTACACTTAAATAACTTTCTTTTGAAAGTCTTAAGTGTTCTGTGTCAGGTAGTACCAGCCTGCAGACATCCATACCACCAAGCCCACATTCTTTTGTAATAAAAGTAAATTCACTTGGGGCCTTTATATTCATATACAGAACTCGTCCAGCTATACAGATTCTGATGGTTGTCGATTAAATGTATATGTAGCCAGTACATTTAATCTGACTTTCATTATGGTCACTTCATAAAAGTGCCATGTAGTGGACAAGTGATGACACATGGCAAGAAAACACAAGGAATCCCTGCAAAGTTTAAATTAGTTTCCCCGCCAGCACACGTTCTAATTTATAGAGTGAGGGCTAAGGGTAGTCTGTAAATCAGATAAACTATGACATGAAATCATCCTATCCACTGAATATATATAGCCAACGCTGAAGGCTGTATGACAAAGAAATGGGAACCCTCAGTGCAGCAGGGCTTGTTTCCATGTAAATCACCCCACAGAAGCCTTAGAGCCCATTGTTCAAACTCAATAGCAAAAGCCATCCACTAGAGTCATTCTCCTGGATTCAGCGTTAATTAAGGCTGACTTTTTACCATAAATCAGCCCTGGTGTTTTTACAGCTTAATTCAGCATTAAGTACACATATGTAAAGAAAAATAAAAGTAATTGATTAACTACGGCATGCGTAGGGGTTATTTTCTCTAGTATCATATCTCTGGATACTCATCTTGCAGGTAAAGACTATCCAACTATAAGGAATCAGAACAGAAAAAGAGAATACAGATAAAATAACATTCTAACATTCCTAAAACCGTCCCTAAGCCAGTTTAAGAAAGAGGCAAAAAGGGCATTTGTCCCCAGCTACTCAAGAGACATGCAATTAGTGTGTCAGTAAAGGAGCTTTTATATTACTCCCATTTCCCCAATTCTGAGACCCCTTGACTTATAGAAGGGAGTATCATATTTCCATTATAGGAGCAAAGCAATCCTGAGCATCAGTGGTGAATGAAAAAAAAATTATATACGTATGTAACATTTAACTCTTACCTAACCAAGATCAATTAAAAACTGTGTACAGAAGGTCCTAAGAGAATCAAGTTTTCCAAAAATTACAAAAACCTTGAATAGCCACAATATGCTTAGATTTGCTTGACATGCCCTCTAAGACTGCAGTAGTAATTTTAATCAGTGTCACATAAGTATTTCTGCAAATATTACATAGAGGATTAATTATGTAGGTGTTGAAAAAAGCAAGATTCACTTTAGAATAAAAAAAAATAAAATAAGATACAAGCTTAAAGTAAAAAATTAAAGTCATGTATCAGTGTGCCGTTCATTTGGCATTAACTGGTTTGACACTCTTTGACGGGTACTTTCAAACTTAGAATTTGGAGTGGATAGGGTTAACTGCCATTGACCAAGCACTTGTTAATACTTTGTTGCCAATGCATCTAAGGGCATATTGTATGTGTTTTTATGCATTGCCATTAACTATTCTAGGCTGCACAATGCACTGAAATGTAAAAACAAAAAAAGCACTGTGCTGCATCACTGATATAGGAACAGACACTATCTTTATTATGAGGAATCACAACACGTACTGTACATTTTAGTACATTGGAACAAGTGCATTAAAAAGCAGAAATGTACATTGGCCCTTCCCACTTGCCAAATTTTGATGCTTTTATGTGGTGCAATTGTAGTGTAACTGTTTCCTGAACCATTAAGAATGAATAAAAGAATTACCAACACATAGAATGTGTGAATACAGAGATACCCTAGAAGAAAGATCAACTGATTCAGTTCCTTTTTCTAAATTTAGATCCCATGGACTTAAAGTACTCTTAATTATAAAAGTTTGTTTAATTCAATGTAATGCTTAAAATGTTAATAAACACTATTGTTATATTTTTACATAT